TGCCCCGGTAGCCACAAATTCACCACCAGCCACTTATTATTATCCCTAACGCAATAAAACGTCATGACTCTCTATGTTTCATTTAGAAGGCTATGCTCTCTAGAAGTGTAAATTTTTTAGTAGAACGGACAAGTCCGTAGGACAAAACGTTCAGTGGGTCCTTGTTCATGTGATCACATGGGCTAAATAAAAAGCCTAGTGTAGGGTTCTCCTGAACAGGGTAAACTAAGTTTATACTCCGTCCAGGGTAAAGTAAGTTTATCTCAAAATTTGTTTTGTTTTGATAAAAATTTTCAGATTGTGTAAAAATTGTAAAAAAAAAAACTTTCAAGTTTCAGCCTTTTATTTTTATAGGTCAGGTCACGAGAATATCCACAATATGTCTAATTGACGGCTATGTAAAAAATATCTTCATACTTACATCATACGTCATACACCATACATTCATCATACATTATACAGCACACACACGCACAGCATACTAAGTGAATAAGCAGCATGTTGTCTGTGTTTGCCACCACCCTAACGCCAGCTGAAGTACGAACTCGTGTCGAACAGGCGCCCAAATTCAATGGCCAGGCCCAGAGCAACCTCGTACTCGTGCTACCACCTGCTGCATTGATATGTGTAGCTTTTCCCTTGTGGACCTTCAGTGTGCTGCCGATTTTTGTTGTGTATTTGATATATATATTCGCACCTTACAAATCATGGCGTACTTCCAAACGCACGATGTATCGAAGGTCTCCCTGCAGCCGGTCGAGAAGATTCCTGCATTGCAAAATAGAGAGTTTGACATCGTCGTGTACGGCGTAACAGGTATCACATATATAATTTATATATCTGTATCTGTATATATGAAGTTATATATATAATCAGACGGCCAGAAATGTCAATTCTCTGTCTACCCTTGGTTTGGGGTGGGGTCGTGAATCATACGTATGAATCCGTCACATACGTTGCTCTGCGACTAGCTTTTAGCGAGTATGTGAACACGCTTAGCAGATGCTATAGACTGAATTGTGACTGCTCTCTGTTTGGAAGTCAGTATGTTGTTTACGCATACTTCGACCACTTTCTGCTACTATACAACGAGAGACGCCTGAAATTTGTTTTGAGACACCTATTATCAAAACTTGTGTCAAAATTAATTACGTATGTACGTGCCTACCTTACGACTATTCCGACACAGCAGGTGTAGTATGTATTTGATATTTCGGCAGCCCATAACTGGTGCTAGATTGTTGCGACCCTATGTTCCTCCTTCGGCTATCTATGATATCTGGCTCCTGGTGATGGTAGCTCCTTATATTATACTGAAGTTCTCTGCTCGCACACATAGGCCACTGTCTCCTTGTCTCAATCGACGTGTGCAAAATCCTGCCTATGTACGCTCTCGCTTACTGCGCCAGGTATCCAATGCATTCTGAGCAAATCAACCTTTCTGTTCCGACGATGAATTGAAGGTTTGTAATTTTGTTGCGCGATACAGGGCACTCTGGTCTACTTCTGGCGATTGCTCTTGCGGGCCGTAGCGCTAAGAAGCTCGAAATTGCACGCGCGAAGCTCGCCAGACTTTCAGACCCCATCGCCCTGGATTTCCCTCTTATCATCGCCAATAGTAACGACGACAAGTCTCTCGAGGCAATGTGTCTCCGCACTAAGGTTGTGGGCACTACAGTTGGGCCGTATCTAAAGTATGGAGAGCCTCTTGTTCGTGCCTGTGCACGTACTGGTACTGGGTACTGTGACCTGACAGGCGAGGCGCAGTTTGCAGAGCTAGCAGCGACAAAGTACGACAAGCTGGCTGTACAGACAAGTGCACGAATTGTCTCCTTCACTGGGTTCGACAGTGTTCCAGCGGATGTGGGCACGGCCACAGTGGTATAGAAGTTCAAGAAGAAGTTCGGTACTCCGCCTGCTCGTGTTGATTCTGTTTATACCATAACGAAGGGTGGCATACAGGGTGGTACATTCGACACCATAGTAAACCTGATGGAGAACGGCCTACCCCCCGCCCTGCTGAATAAGCCAAGTCAACCTCCGCCAAAGGGAAAGACTTCGATTGTTTTCCCGTTCGTGTACTACAATTCTTTCGCAGGCTGCTGGACTATACCCTTCGTCATGGCAATAGTAAACAGCAGAGTGGTGCAGTGGACGAATGCTTCGATGGGACACTCCAAGCATTTCTATTACAACGAGGTATGGGCATGCCCACAATATCGTCGGTGTTGTTCAATTTGTCGGTGTGTATTCTAGGGGGACCGTTTCTTGTCATGAAGTTCACTCGTGATTGATGCTCAAATTCGGTCTCTGCCCTAACCCAGGAGAAGGGCCCGATCGCAATACTGTTCGAAAAGGTTTGTTGGAGTGCAAATTCTACGCTACATCTGCGGATGGCAAGCAGGTTGAGACGCTGTGCTGGCAGAGTGTGGGCGACTTGGGTGGGTTTCAGACTGCCCTGTATCAGGGAGAGAGTTGTGTCGCACTTGTGAAGGACGCCTCCAGGCCCGGCCCTAAACCCACAGGCGCGGGGCTAACAGTGGGCATGTGCATTGGCACTGATGTCATGCTAGAGCGTCTCAGAAACTCGGGATTCCTATCTATCGAATGAGATTTCTCAAAAAAGCAATTGAGCGTGCATGAGGGATACTGGAGTTAGTGGCTATTCAGCGATCTTCAGGATGCCCTCAAGGCAAATCTGCAGAGAACACTACACAATGTGATCTCTATGCAAAGCTACCATTATATTGTTCATGGGCTATATCATGTGTGGGTTCAAAATGAACACCCACTAATCTGGTCACCGTGTGTTTGCCTAAACAGCTGGAAAGGAGTGCTGTCGGTTTTGGTCGACTCAATTATACGCAGAACTTTGACGGGATAAAGAATGTATAGTGGCCAAATATTTTGACAGATTCGAATCATTCGATGTTTTGATTTGATTGCTGCTTCAAATTGCTTTTATGACAGGATGAATCTACACGATATTACAATATATATATAAAAATCGCTTTCTTTCGTACTATACGCGAAGGATACAAATAAAGCACGAATAATGTATCCACATGCGAAATGTGGAATATATATGACGATTGAATCGTTCGCTTTATATAGCACTAGATATAGATACAGGCAGAATCAGGAATAGATATGTTCACACACGCACACACACACACAAATACACACACACATATATATACAAACATACATACACACACATATACACACATACATACATACACACATATATACATACG